ATTGTTGTGTTGCTAAATTTTATTGTTTTTTTTCCTGAATATTTTTGATCCCTGTTTCCTTGAATCTGTGGATGCTTCTACAGTATCCACTGGCTTGAAGAGCTAGGTGACAGAGATTGAGGTGACCACAGAACCTGGAAAGTGAGGGAAGAAATCTAGGGAAAAAGATGTCAAGCAAAGGATTTTGCCCCTTAGTCTACCTTAAACTCTGCCCAAATTTCAGACTGACTGACACCCAAAATATATAAAGATTTCTACAATACAATATTAAAGAGCCCAACACCTCAGTTATAATGGGCAAAATTTGAAAAGTTACAACAGAAGACATACAAATTGTTAATATAGCCCATGAAGAAGTGTGTTTGATATCATTGGTCATCAGGAAAAAGCAAATGAAAACTGCAGTGAGATACAACTACACAACCACCAGAATGGCAGATATTAAAAATACCGATAACAGGCTGGGCGCGGTGGCTCCTGCCTGTAATCCCAGGACTTGGGGAGGCTGAGATAGGCCATCACCCAAGGTCAGGAATTCGAGACCAACCTGGCCAACATGGAGAAACCCTGTTTCTATTAAAAATACAAAAATTAGCCAGGCGTGGTGGCAAGTTCCTGTAATCCCAGCTACTTAGGAGGCGGAGGCAGGAGAATCGCTTGAACCCAGGAGGTGGAGGTTGCAGTGAGCCAAGATCCTCGCACTGCACTCCAGCCTGGATGACAAGAGTGAAACTCTATCTTAAAAAAAAAAAATCAGAAATTGCATATATTTTGGGGTAGACAGTGTGAAATTAATCTGGGAAATGATCTGATGGTTTCTTAAGTTAAACACATCAAACAATTCTAATAATAGATATTTATTCCAGAGAAAAGAAAGCATATGCCTGTAAATAGACTTTTATAAGTATGCTGCAGGAGTTTTATTACTAATAGTTAAAAAAATTAAAATGTAAGCAGGTTTCCAAAAACACATATTCATGCATTAGAACATCACTCAGTAATAAAACGGATCAAATGACATGTGCATCAACATGGATGGATCTGAAAAACACTATACTCAAAGAATTGTAGTGCAGAAGATTACTTACCATATGGTTCCATATATTTAATGTTCTAAAATTATTAAAATTTATGGTGAACAAATAGAACAGTGATTGCAACTGGGGGAAGGGGTTAGAGACTGATGGGGAAGTGTCATGAGAGAATTTGGGGGGTAATGTTAATGTTCTGATGAATAGATAAGTGATAACATGGCTAGGTGAATGGCTAATAAATGTTGCTAATATTAGAATCTACGCTGAGAATATATGGGTGAACACTGTATAATTCTTCCAACTCTTCTTTATGTTAAAAAATTTCAGGGCTAGGCACAGTGGCTCCTGCCTGTAAGGCCAGCACTTTGGGAGGCCAAGGTGCAAAGATCACTTGAGGCCAGGAGTTTGAGATCAGCCTGGGCAACATAGTGGGACCCCATCTTTGC